GGGTAAGGACTCGTAGTGATTGGAAATCTTCACAGGGCTGAGATAGAGCCAGAGCTGAGGGTAGATTTCAGGTTTTTCCATTTAGCTGGGACACATGATAAGCAACCAGATGCAGCTGCTTGGCAAAAACAGTAGCTGCTGATCTTGGTGTCCGTGTGCTTGTGTGGGTAGGACTCAGCCATGTAGGAACGGGGGAAATAGGGTTGTCTAGAATTCCAGCCTTGGGAGAGTCTGACAACAGAGGTTGTCTGACTGGTCTTGTCTGTGGCTTGCCCGTCCCCAAGGATGTGGAACCTCCACAGAGGCCAACGGGGCAGCGGGGCATTGTGAGCCTATGCTGCCCTCGTGTCTTCAGTAGCCATGGTGGAGGCTGCTCACATTCTCCAGCTCTGGCTTCACATTCTGTCTCACTCTCCCCCCCCCACACCCTTCCCTCTCCCTTCCTCCTTCCCCTCTTTCTTTCTCTCTCCCTTTTCTTCTCCTTCTCCCTCCATTCCATATCCCTGCCCCCTCCTTCTTCTCTCTCTCTCTCTCTCTCTCTCTCTCTCTCTCTCTCTCTCTCTCTCTCTCTCTTTCTCTCTCCTTCCCTCTTTTCCATGTCTTCTATGCTAGCTGTGTACTGTTCTCTGGAATGTGCCTCCCTCCATGCAGAACCTTGGGATCCAGTGGTTTCTTTGATTCTGCCATGTCCTCGGTACTAGGGTTTTTCTCAATTTGTCCATTGAAATGGAAGCAAAAAAATTACCAAGACAGTATATGCATAAGAGAATGGTATGGGATCACTATACACTAACTGAGCTTTGAGGGTAGGTATGAGTTGGCTCAATAAGATGGAAAGGAGATCCACACACTAAGTCAAGTGATGTCTTTTGTATGTGTGTGCAGGGGAGAGGGATTGCCTTTGTTTGTCTACGTATGTCGACAGGCCACAGATCCATGTTGTTAAGTTTCTTCCGCCATTTTTGTTTGTTTGTTTGTTTTGAGACAGTGTCTCTTATTGAGCCTGGAGCTCACCAATCTGGCTAGACTGACTGGCCCACAAGCCCCACACATCCTCCTGTCTCTGCCTCCCAGCACTGGGAATGTAGGTCCATGCTGCCATGCCCACCTTTTTACGTGGGTGCTGGTGATCTGAACTCAGTTCCTCAGGCTTGTACTGCAAGCACTCTACAGAGCAAGCCATCTCCCCAGTCCTAAGTAGTTTCCACTGGCACATCTGCAGCACCAGTTTCAGAAGGAGCAACCGTGAGAACAGGGTACCTCAGTTCATTTATAGGCCAGCTTGCAGCCTCCACCTCCAGGTTCATACAGAACTGCTTTTGTTCCTAGTTTTGTCTGAGAATTTTAGAGGCAGTATGAGGTTCCAAGGTCTTTGGCTTTGACATCTAGGTTGGTGTTTTCTCCTCCCTCTCCATCCTTCTTCCTCCCCAGAGGCCTCACAGCTCTATCTGTCATCGTGCTGAGGACAGCCATTGAGATATTAGTAGCTCTCCTCTCTGTCAAAACACCTTCTCCCCAGCTGCTCCTCATCTTACACTCCTGCCTTTGGACCCTTTCAGACAGTTGTCTTCAAAGATTCCCAAACCAAAGGAGAAGGTGTTGGGGGGCGGATGGTGAGGAGATAATTCATCTCCATCTGCCACAGTACTCTCCACACCAAATAATGAAATATAAATCCTGTTTCTTCCCACCATCTGCGGTCACAGCAGCCAGCTCTGTGAGGAGGGAAGTCAAAGCTGAGGAAAGGTAGAAGGGGCAGAGCTCTGAAAGCCAGGGCTCACCTGCACACCTGTGGAAGGCTTCTTAAGTGTCCATACGTGATCAGAAGAGCCTTCCCCAATTCTCTCCCCTCAACCCACTCTCACCCCCCACAAGGATCACACCTTCCTTATAAGTTGGCCTTTGCTCCAAGTTTCTCTTTTGTGAGCAGGCAGTTATGTAGAAAGACAATGATAAAATGAGCGAACCTCGTAGGCTCAGGGTCTAAGGAAGGGGGCAAGCTCATGACAAGAAAGTATGAGCATTTGCACAGTCTTATGGTCTTACGTGCCTAAGCTAAGGGAAAGGTCAGAAGGCGTTCCCCAAGGGTCATATATACAAGCTGCCTCTTGAGAATGAGCCAGAAGAGAGTTATGTTTGTCAAGTCCTTCCTGGTGCTGCGGTCACTCTGAGGACTCTCCTTGGGTGATGACTCCTGGTTCCCTTAGCAGTTGGAGGGCAGGTCTGGGCTGTCATTGGTAGAAGAGGAGATTGGGGATTTATGAAGCTTACAGTGTTCCACTTGGCAGGGGGAAGAGCTAGACATGGGATGCAGGCAATCTGACTCCAGAGCCTATGCTCTTTACCCAGAATGCCTCATTTCCTCTGCATCAGGCACAAGAGGAGCAGAAGTAGGATGCTGCAAACAGTAGGTCTGCAGGACTTGTAGCACCTCCTTGCATTGCCCTGGTCACAAATTCCCCTCTGCCCTCCAATGCTGGTCATGACTTTTTTCTTACAAGCTCACTCTCTGGGTTTGGTTGTTGCTAGCTCATTTAGAAAAGGAATCCTGAAGAATTTTGGTCCAGGGACCCATTACAAGAATGAGAAAGAGCCCTTGTATATTTTAAGTTGACATCTATCTTTATTTTATTATGCTTAGTCTCATAAGGTGTTATTTCCAGGTTCTTATAAATATTGCCATTTTGTAGTAAAATCACTATGGCTTTCTTTTATGTGTGTCAAAAGGAAATTAAATACCAAAGTACTTGATGCCTACCATTTTCTATATACAAAAAAAAAGAAGAAAAAAAAAAAGAAAAGAAAACAACCACAGTGGGAAAAGCACAGTGACCAAAAATAAACAATACAAAAAAAGTTCTTTAGCACTTGGGAATTTTTCTTTATTTCCTTTTCTATTGAATTCCATCTGATTTCCCCTAGAAGTTTATATGTACATTAAAACTAATGCTTGAAAATGCCTGCAACCATGAGGTACTGAGTGGCAAAATAGTTCTCTTCTTTGAAATATGATCTGTAATTGGTCTTATGTTGCTATAGCTGACCACAATATACATGCAGAAATAGTTTTCAATTTTTAAAAATTTATTTATTTCACATGTGTGAATGTTTTGTCTGCATATATGTCTGTGCACCAAATGGGGCCTGGTGCCAGTGACGACCAGAAGAGAGTGTCAGATCCCCCGGAATTGGAGTTACAGACCATTGTGAGCTACCAAATGAGTGCTGGGAACTGAACTCAGGTCCTTATGAAGAGCACTCTTAATGATTGAGTCATCTCTCCAGCCCTCAAAAATATTTTTGATAAAAATCTTAAATATGTAAAGTAAAAAAAAATATTGGAAAACATCTCTTCTTCAGAGATTTGAAGCTCCCTTTCACAATTAATTGATGTGGGCACAGATGCATCTGAACAATTTCTATGACATTTATAACAAATTTGAGTCACTACCAAATGGGAGGCTTATCATCACATAATTATTGGTGATTGTTGCTAAGAGCATTGATTATGGTGGACTTGTGCTATGTTGAATTTTGTTAGGCTAAATCTCTCAAGCTTGTGTTGGGTGCCAGTAAAGGTGCAGACACATGGCTGATGACAGGAAGGAGGGAGAAACAGTCATGGGTCCCTCAGTGCCTTGAGGGTGTGGTACTGAGTATCTGGAGTGAGCTGTGGAGCTTTGCACCCTATTCTCCTCAAAATTATGCACGCAGTGTATCTGGGACATTGAGTGAGGTGACTAGCATTTCCTACCTCACCCTTTTCCCTTAGTAATAACAGTGAAGACAAAGGGGGTCTTATGGGAACAGACTTCTCAGGTGACTTTTTAATATATTCTAACTCTAAGGCATAGGGAGGTGTGGTATGCTTTTACTCCCTGGAGAAACGGAGCCAACCAATATTCCTTAACAATGCTCTCATTGCCCTTTGCTTGTGGCCTTGTCCCGTGGGAGTCACAAAGGAAAATGTGGGGCTTTTATATCAGATTCATCTTTCCTAATAGCCCTTGAATTCAGAAAACCCAGACACACAGTATCTGATTTTTCATAGAAATACACACAAGAAATACACAAAGACAGTAGCATTCTCTGGGCTTCTGGAGCCTTGGAATGAAGGAGGTTCATGCACATTCTCTGGGGTAGCTGAGGACTCTTCAGTTTCTACTTGTTCCTTCTCTTCGCATATGACAAAAGCTGATAGCACATGCTTTGTGCTCCCTTGCACACAGGATTAAGGGCATGATTGGCACCTGCCATCCAATACAGTTGTTTGAGATCTGGAAGATGGGATTCAGAGAGAATTGTTTTCCTCAAGGCTCCCAGTGGCCCCCCCTGTAGACTCCTGTACCAGGTTCTAGTGTTCATTCTCCATCTCTCTGTATATCAAGAAAGAGTCATGGTACCAATATCTTCTTGATGTCATTCTCTAAGACAGTTCTTAACTTGTGGTTTGTGACCCATTTGGGGGGTCACATATCAGATATCCTGCATATCAGATGTTTATATCCATAACAGTAGCAAAATTAGAGTTATGAAATAGCAAGAAAATAATTTCATGGTGGAGGGGTCACCACAATATAAGGAACTGGAATTAAAGAGTTGCAGCATTTGGAAGGTTGAGAACCACAGCTCTAAGACTTGGAAGGGCCGGTTTGCTGATATACAGAAGCTCTCTGAAATGATGGTGGCCTCAACTTCAAATGAGTGCCTGACTAGCTCTCTAGTGTTGAGAAGTCATCCCAGAGACCATGTCTAGAACCCGTGCTCACATCCATCCTTGTACTTTGGTTAAGTATCTAGTTCTTTTCGTAAAATTCCTTTTGGTCTAAATATCTAAAAATGTCTATACCCTGACTGGTACATTGATATTTTGAAATTTTCTTTTCTTGGTGCTCAAGAGACTTGTTGCCTTTGTGCAAGTCACATGTCATGGTAAGGTTTAGGACAGATGAGAGAAATTTGTTTTCCTTATTAAAATGAAAAGGCTGCTGGGAAAGAGGTGGTGGGAAGGTAGGAACAGCATTTATTTGTTGTTACAAAAAAAATTGACAAAGGCAACTTAAAGGAGTGAGGCTTCTTCTGGATCATAGTTCTAAGATGCAGTCCGTCACCGTAGGCAAGACATGACAGCAGAAGTTGGAGGTCAGCTGATCTGGTCTTCAGTCAAGAAACTGAAAGAGAGAAATTAGCACTGGTGCTCAGCTTACTTCCTCAGCTTTATTCAGTCCAGAACCCCAGTCTGTGGAATGGTGTTACCTACATTTGAGGCCCACCTTTCTAGCTCAATTAACTCAGTCTAGAAACTCTGTAATAGACATGCCCAGGAGTCCATCTCCTAAACAATGCTAGATCCTGTCAAGAGGATAATGTTAGCCATCCTACAGCACAGCTTGTCAACAGAAGCATGTTTGTGGTAGATTAATCTTAAGGAAGAATGTGCATGGGTGTTCCCAGTGTGGAAATTGATTCCATGCCCATAATCTTTTTAGAAAACCTTCATGTGCCTCTGGCTTGGAGACTTGATACTCTTAAAAAAAATTTCCTGAAAGTCTCACAGGAAAGTAGAGGCATTCAGCTTTTAGACATTGACCTTTTGGTTAGTGCAGTTGCTGAGGATCACATGGCTGTGATTCTCATGTGGAGGACAGAAGAGGAAAGGGGATGAGGGAGAGTTTAACTACAGAGAGGAAACAAGGAAGTGGAAAGGGACCAGTCAGCAAGTCCCAGTCCAGTTCTAACCAGAATGCACTGGACTCACTAGTCAGTGAACCACAGTGACTCATGTTCATGCGGTACCTATCACATAGTCAGGATCAATCAGTGGATGAATGAGAAATTCTAAAGATCAGGCGAGGCCTGGAATGGTAAGAGGCCAATGCCTGTCATCTCAAAGCAGTCTTTAAGATATGTTGAGAGACATGGCGGTGTGGTAGAAATGTAGGCTCATGAACTCTGAGACACCATCCCAGGATGGTTTATAAACTGAAACACTGGAGAGTTGCCTAACCACAAGGAGCTGTGCCTGTGTATTCGAATCTTAAGGATGTTATGAAGTATAAATGATGCAAAGTAAATAGAAGAAATAGCATATTGGGAGGCACAGTACAATAATATTTAAAATGTTCCTTTTAGTGTATTCATTTTATTTTTACAATACATACACTATTCAAAGTTGAGAGAGATTCGCGATGTATAACCACTTTAATGGTAATTTATTTTTATAGACAGAAAAATTGAGCAAACAAGCAGCCTTTTGTCTTTACTGAGAACGGAACAAGCATACACTAGAGCCAGAGCATGAAGGATGGAGGTTAGACAGATAGGAGCAGCCCTTTGCATGGACACTGGCCAGCTTGGGGCAGCTGGCAATGAAGCCTGAAGCTTTCTTCCCCGGTAGGGTGCTAGGGCTTAAACACCCTGGTTGCCTTTTCACCCCAAGGCTTCTTGCAGGAAAGATTTAGCTATTTTCCTAATGACAGCTGAAGCTTGCCCTTAGCTCTTGCCACCCTCTACCTTCGAGTTAACATCTTGGACTCGCCTGTTCCCCAACAAGCAGCATCACTAACCTATTTAATGCTCCAGGCAAGTGAATGCCAAAGTTCTTGGCTCTTTCCTGAGACTTATAAGTATATAATAGCTTTGACAGTACATGTCATGTTAGGGCCTCTTTCCCTTCATGAACCAGGAATATGCTCTATCTGATGAGCTGTGAAGAACAGAAGTTGAGTGCCTGTCCTTAAGTTCTACACATTTCCTGATCTCCCCTCCTCAGCAAGAGACAGACAGACAGACACATCAGCAGGCAGGCACCTGTCACTTCGACATCCCTGCATCCTTAAACAAGCAACTGAGAGTGATGTTAAAATTAGCCTGCACTGGAGGCTGTTGGAGTTGAGGAAATTAGCTGAATGCTTCCTTGGTAATTGTCGGTGAGGCTGTGAAGGGTATGTCGTACCTGAGAGAAGCTGATAACAAACAACTCGGGAATCCAGAAATAAACAGCTGGCTCTTCTCTTTCTTTTGTCCTTTGGAGATGCCTTTGATGCCTGTGGATGTCTCTTTGTCCTTCCCTTCTTTATTCATTCCTGTGGAAGGAAAGGTGAACTGTTTGTTGTCTACTAACCCATGGCAGAGGGAAGTCCCCAGCTGGGAAGAGATTACATGATATTTATGGATTGTCTCAGCTCTGTAGGGCTCTGAACTCAGCGGGAGCAACCAGATGTGGGCCCTGACCCTCTGGGTGTGTAGTAAGATGACAGGATAGGGACATAAATAACAATAATTAAGAGGCAAAAACCAAATCCTGTGGCAATAGAGGAGGGATCATCAGAGAAACTTGCTTGGGAGGGAGGAAGAGGAAGATGGAGTGAGGTAGGGGTTAGAGAAATGGATGGGGAGAGGGAGTGGGAGAGGGAGAAAACACGCCTCTTCAATAATGGCAGTATGGCAGAGGATCCAAACTGCTCAGGTTATTGAACACAGCACAGTGGCTTGTTTTAGACCTCTCCTAGATGGTACAAAATTGAAACAAGGCAAAATCAAGAGAGGGCACGAGGAATCTACCCAGTGGGCATCCGTTAATGGACTCTGAGTATACATGGCATTTGGAACTGAAGTTGAGGTGGGATTCTATGGCAGCAGGGGGTGGATGGCTTGGGAGCAGAAGACATATAATACAAGGAGAGCAGAAGCAACAGAAGCCTGGGATTGGGCAGTGGCATCGTGCCAGGGACAGGCACATCTTATCTAATGCAGATGCTCTTGGCTTCTTGCTATGAATCCCCCTACAATTTATGTGTTCAAAATGTAATTTCCAGTTCAATAATAGCAAGAGGTAGAACCTTTGAGGGGTGAAAGGCTGTAAGAGGTCTGAGCACATGAATAAATTACTGCCATTATTGAAGAGTGGGGTTCCTGATAGGCCGAGCTCACCACACTCACCTTCCACCTTTCCCCTTCCAGAATGAGACAACACAGCAAGAAGGTCCTCACCAAATCCACGGATCTGAAACTCCTGGTGGTTAGACTCACAAGACACGTAAAGTTTGGTTCCTTATTGCTTTCTCAATCTGGGGTACTCTGTTAGAGCCACACAAAACAGAACAGGACACCCTTTAATAGAAATTGAGGCCAGTTACAGCAACCAATCAGAGAATGAAATAGCCACCTCTCGGCCAGGTCCTCGAGCACTATGCCATCATCTGCAGCCTCCCGTCCATCTCCTCCCTCTGCTTCCACGTTAGCAGTGCTGTCCTGCCAGCATCCCTGTCCTCGTTGTCTATCATGACCTCTCCTCCATCCTCTGCTTCTAACTGTAGCACTGACCTTCTCTTCTGCCCCAGCCTCTATTCCCACCATCCTTCCTTCTTTATGATTCCATCTCTAAATGCCCAGAGTGTTGGGCAGATATACCTGACAATCCTTCAGACCTAGGCCTGGAATACTGACTCTAGAATTCTCCGATCTGGGGATACAGAGTTTGAGAATGTGGCCAGTGAGGGAGAGTGTGGAGACAGAGCCAGGAGCAGGGACTGTGTCCGCTTTGGCTTCTCCTTCTTCTCCTCCGCCCTGCCTCAAATAGATTGTTTATAATGTAGTACTGACAGGAACTGCTGCTCACCGCTGCTGGGTTTCAGCAGAAGATAAAGTGACAGGAAGATTGTACCACATTCTCCAAAAAGGCCCCCTGGGGAGGATGTTGAGAGAAGGTGATTGATTTGGTTAGATTGTGATGTGTTATTTAGGGAGAAGACAGGGGAGCTGGGAGCATGGAAGGGAGAGGAAGTGGAGGGAGAGAAAGCAGCCGCCATGTGGCTGAGGACTCTGGTGCTCTGGACCAGGAGAGAAGGCAGGAACCTGGTGAGGCAGGGAGCCCCTTCTTGTAGCAATTGTTCTGGAGGCTCCCCTGGATGGGACCCTGCTGTTTTCATGGCTTGGTGCTCTGACTTCAGACAAGGAGAACCAACTACACTGAGGAACAGGCAGCTGGGATGTACCACAGGCCAGGAGTGCGTGGACTGGGCAGACAGAGCCCCCCCTAGAGGAGAGCCACATGTGGGCAGCAGGGAGCCAAGGAAGTGGCTAAGTGAGGGCATGCTGATTAAGCGTCATCCTCCTGCAATCAGAAAGAATTTAGGGAGGGCTCCTGTCATGGAGAGATACTCAATATGCTGCTCAAAAGGGAGAGGCTGGATGAAAGATGCTAATCTTCATCACTGTCACTGCTCTCCCTGAGTAGCACCAGGGTGGGCATTTACTTAAGGGGGTTTCTTCTCACTCCACATTTTGGGTGAAACACCAGGAGAGAAGACGGCTGATATGGAAATCTTGTTCAGAGGGGAGCTGGGGGCAGCTAATGCTGTCCCCTTCCCCATGTGGCTGTGAACAAGGCCTTGCCTTCTACCACCAGGGCCAAGACTTGGGTGCATGAGAAACAAAAGAAAATCACTCAGCAGATACAATGGTGATAGAGGGCACCAGGGAGCCCATCCATGGAACCTTCTAGAACCACTGGCCATGCCTGGCTGAAGCACCAAGTTGGAGAGATGGCAGAGGTCTCCTGCAGTGGTGAAGTTTCTTCCCATGTCTTTACCAAGTTCTTAAGTCTTCTTAAGAATGACATTAGCAGCCGGGCGGTGGCGGTGGCGCACGCCTTTAATCCCAGCACTCGGGAGGCACAGCCAGGTGGATCTCGAGGCCAGCCTGGGCTACCAAGAGAGTTTCAGGAAAGGCGCAAAGCTACACAGAGAAACCCTGTCTCGAACTCCCCCCCCCCAAAAAAAGACATTAGCATTCAGGTTTCTCTGATAAGAAAGAATTCATGTCATTTTGTGAGGAGTCTTTATTTCTACAGACTTACCCCCAGGGTAATGACAATGGCAAAGAGACACAAACATCTTAAAAAAAAGAAGTTAAAGTTGAACTCATGGATCGGTGAGGGAATAGACTATTGTCCAAACTAAAGATGGTAGTGAGGGGGTTGTGCAAAAGAAATAACGCAGGAAATCTAGCAGAGCCTGGAGAGTTGAGGGGAAAGAGTTGGAAAACAGGAATGAGAGAAGGAACCAATACCTAACTATATCATTATATAAAGTGGCAAAAGCCATCCGTCCTTTCTTCAAGACATTCTAGAAATTTCCTATACCATATACCGTGTGTGTGTGTGTGTGTGTGTGTGTGTGTGTGTGTGTGTGTGTGTCCATTACTCTTATTAATGTGAATAGTGGCCTCTAGAGTTGGGTAGTGCATGGCTGTATACTGTAGCTCCTGGTTGTCATAGAACCTTGTATAGACAGAACAGTAAACAGGGCTTTTGAGTTCTTTTCTTTGTGGGATATAATATATTCTCTCCTTTGTTATCTTCCCAAGAACCTTTAGGGAAGAAATTGCATTTCTTTTCAAAGCTTCTGGAGCTGGATTTGTTTTCTTTTTTTTTTTTTTTTTTTTTTTTTTTTGGTTTTTCGAGACAGGGTTTCTCTGTGTAGCTTTGCGCCTTTCCTGGAACTCACTTGGTAGCCCAGGCTGGCCTCGAACTCACAGAGATCCGCCTGGCTCTGCCTCCCGAGTGCTGGGATTAAAGGCGTGCGCCACCACCGCCCGGCCTTGTTTTCTTTTTAATGTGTCACCGTATGCAGCAAGGCCTTAAGGCTGGAACAGTATAGCTGAGATTTCTTGGAATGACTTTCATTTGGTTGCATAGACAACAAGCTTAGGGTGCTCTAAAACTGATGACAGGTTGGCTTCCATGTCAGTCAACAGTCTTTAAGATCTAAGGTCCATCAAGAGAGCAGGCACTTCTGAGTCTATCCTGCATGATCTCCTACCAAGGTTAGGAGATCATGTTAGATGTTAGAATCTTAATCACAGAGGACAAAGGTCTTGATAAGATCAGACTTAGAGGCTGGCTGGGAGTGCTGTTTCAAAGCTAGGATGTCATTATAAAGTGTGCTGGTTTGTTTTCTGTCAACTTGATACAAGCTATCATCAGCAGAAAGGGAACCAAGATTGAGAAAATGCCTCTACCAGATTTGCCTGTAGACAAGTCTATGAGGTATTGTCTTGATTAATGACTGAAGTGGAAGAGTCCAGACCACTAGAGGTGGTGCCACACTTGGGCAGGTAGTCCTAGGTTGAATAAAAAAAAAAAAAAAAAAAAAAAAAAAAAAAAAAAAAAAAGGCAAATTGAGCAAGCCAAGAGGGAAAATCCATTAAGCGGCCTTCCTCCATGCTCATGGTCTCTGCTTCAGTTCCTGCCTTCGGGTTCCTGCCCTGCTTGACTTCCTGCTGTGGCTTTTCTTGGTGTCAGGCTATGATTAGGACATATAAGCCAAATGAACTCTCTTCTCCCCAAGTTGCTTTTAGCAACGATCTTTATCACAATAATAGAATGCAAATTAGGACATAATGGTAGAGAATTTGAGTTAAAGATAAAAAACTAAGTGTGGGACAGCTTCACCACAGAAAAGCTACAACCAGGAGTAGCCAAGCAGGTGGGCAACCAGTGACTCAAAGGAATAAGGAATCCTAGAGCCAGCTGCTGCTACCTCTGGCTAGTCTAATATGGACCACTGTGAGCTGGCTCCAATTAGGGAGGCTATTCTGTTCCAGGAGAGCAGTAGAGGAAGCAGCCATGTGTCTGTGGTTCCTTGACTGCTGCAGAGAGACTTGCTTCTCCCCAAGTGTTTCTCAGAGATTTGCTAGTGAGTGGACAGGACAGATTGGCTAAGTCTGAGAACCAATAGAAGGGGGATAGGCCATAGTTCTCCAGCTTGGCCAGAAGAATTAGTTTTAGGAAGTTGAATTAAGTCATTGCTCCAAATCCTGCAACCTTTCACCCTGGGCTCAATTCTGCATGTGGCAAAGTAGAGAAAAAGGGGCCAGAGCCATGCTCCTCACCAGCTGGCTAAGCAGGATTATGGTTACATAATAAATCCAAGGCCTGGCATGTTTATGAGGCTCTCAGAAGCTGCAGTAACAATATCATTTAGAAAACATTTATGCTCCCAAGATGAAGGCAATCCCTCCCCCTCCTTTATTCATAAGGCATGCTGGGTAATTAAGTGGGAGCTGGGAAGGAAGGTGGTTGGGAGAAGATGGCCTCTAAATAATCCTGCCTGGTAAGGCCACCATCTGTTGATGTGCGGTAAGGATAGCCCACATACGGTGAGATAGTTTATAAGCAGTGCAAGAATCCAGGGTCCAGGAGAACATTCTCAAGGAATATCAGCAGGTTGGCACAGATGTTGGCTGAGTGACTAGATGACTGGGACATGTCCTACCTCTGGAACCCAGCATTGTGCCTGGCATCTGGCAGTTGTCTGACTCACATAGATGATTTAATTCATCCATCCACTGGTTCTGACACAGTTTGGTGGGTGCTGACACATGCCAGAATCTGCACTTGGCATAGGCTACTTCATGATAGTGAATAAAACAGACAGAGCTACTACCTGCATGGACTCTGACTGCCATTGAGGACATAGAGTCCCATTATTGATTGACCTAGTCTTAGTGTTCAGAATATGAGCCTTCAGCTCATTGGTAGCTGGCCAAGTCTCCCATAGACTCTCTAGTTTCCTAAAGAAAATGTTTGATCTATTCCCCTGCCACCCAAGGGTCCATGCTCATCTTCTGTGCTATGAGGGATACTGGAAGAAGGACACCCATAGGTCCTATTTGCCATTGTTGCCCTCTGCTCTCAGGTAGTTAGAAAATATTTCATAAAGGTGTAAGACCCTTCACGCACCTTACTCAGCAACTTCTTTGGCTCTGACTAGTCATCTTCCTGACACTGGCTCTAGTAGAAGGTAGAGTAACCAGGAATGTTAGAACCCAATTTTCACAGCTTCTGAGGTCTTCTCCCCTGGGCTTATCAGACCTTCTAAAATTCTGAGGGGCTGGGGAGTTAGCTCGGTGGGTAAAATACTAGCTGCACAAGAATGAGGACCTGCGTTTGGACCCCCAGCATCCATATCAAATATGAGTGGTGGGTTGCCTAAAACCTTTATGCTGGGGGAAGAGACAGGAGGATCCCAGAGGCTCACCATCCAGCCATTCTGGCTGAAATGGTGAACTCTAGA